TGTAACAAACTAACATAGCTTGGTCATTGACAGGTCTTTTTCTTTTATTTTCGTCGGGTCTCTTCAATAAGACGTGACAATTGGCACCTCCAAATCCAAAATTGTTTACACCGCCAAAATTCAAATCCTTCGGCCAAGGAGTCTTTTCGGTCACCACTTTAATACTACCATCTACAAGTGCTTTAATATTTTTATTCGGTTTATCGAAGTTTATATTTGGTGGTATAATTCCAGTTTCCATCGCAAAAATTAACTGAAAGTTGATAGTATTTTTTATGGATAAGTAGAATATTTATGTAAATATTAGATCTCACTTTTATGATGCCGCAAAGACCAGAAGCAGGTTCGGTGTGACCTGTATTGGATTTGCATGATCCTAAGAGTAACGCGTTTTCTCTTCCCGGACAAAAGAAATCGTTAATGCGGTTCACTTCCAAAGGATCTCCAACAACCGTGCCTACAGAAAAACATGTTAATACTGTATTATAATTAATTTTCTGAGTATTTACCAGTTCCATGACCTTCAATATAAGCAACAGACGATGGGGAAATGTTTGCTTCTTCATAGACTTCTTTGAAGAGAAGTGAATATCCATCACCAGATGGTTGCAATATTCCTTGTTCTTTATATCCATCTACATTTGATTTGCAGTATACGACCTCTGTGTAAATTCGTTTAGCATCTTTCTTTTTTTGCAAGAGAATCATAACGATCGCTTCAGATCTAGTGAAACCATTACCGTTTTCATCGAAAGATCTGCATCCTGTGTTTATGTTCAGAATACCTAGTCTGCAAATTAGAAAATATGATAGTTCCACTTTTTATAAAGTATGTTATTAAGTTCATGTACCGTGCATATTGCAAAGTAGCATTGGGATTGAAGCATGAGTTCGTTCCACCCACTATAGCCAAATCACATTTTCCTTCGCAAATTGAGGTATATGCTTGGTTGAATGCGTATAAACTACTACTGCATGCAGAGTCGCAAATCAACGAAGGACCATTTAGCTGGA